CCCCACCCCCCCACCCCACTCAGGGAGAGTTCTGTTGCCATTGAAAATGTGTAGCCGGAGCTAGCATGATGCTCTCCGCATGTGCTGCTTGTTAAAGATTGGCATAAGGCCACTGTTAATGGGCCTGCGTAGATGCATCCTCCCCTGCGCAAGCTCAGTTCCTACGAACCATTTGTGGCAACATGCTGATCCGAAAAAGTCGTGTGTGGCAAGTCGTGTGCCTTCAGGCCAACATCAACGATCGGTCTTTACTTGGCCGAGATGCCGAGGCTGGACAGATGTTGCACCGGCGTTTGCCGGCTTGTATCGATTGCCAGGTCGGGATTACTACACGGGGAGGCTCCTTTCCCAAGCAGTTCTGGTCTCAGAAGGAGTCGGAGAGGACTTCGCACGGTCTCAGAGGAACGTGATGCAGGTTACGGGAGACCCTTCTGAAGCACCATACCGGCCCTGGCTTCGGCCAGATCGATGCAGCAAGGCCGTTGCATCAGACATTGCCCATGAACGCCCTGTTGTGGCTTCCATCAGCCGTCAGGCTGGTGCCTTCCTTGCGTGCTCTTGCCGAGGCGTCGCATGTAGCACCCAGGCCTAGCTGCTGTCTGCGCTGTGGCCCTGCGGCCTGCCAGGGTAATGCAGAGGAACTTCGGAAGACCATGGGCTTGAGCCAAAGTCACATGATCCTGCCGGCATCGGCGATGATCTCATGTCCTTCGACCTTTCCCGAAGGTATCTCGTTTCCGCAGGGTTCCTTCAAAGACTCCAGAGGCTGGTTCGATTCTCTCCAACAGTGTGCTGTGGATGTCAGTGCTGGTCAGCATAGAGGCACGCGTCAGCTTTTCGGAATGGAGGACCTGTTGAACCAAACGCAGAGGCCTCAAAGCAAGAGACCGCCTAGCAGCAAGTTGCCGCTGATGCCCAGATGATCAGGCCAACCCAAGAGGCTGAGTTGCCATACCCACGATCGCGCGTTGTGGCCGGAGGCAGTCAAATCCCAGCACTTGCCGTGCGAGACAGTTGCAGCGTGCTTTCTTCTTAGGCGGGTTCACTGAGGCGGTGGCACGAGCCACTTTGATTGGTTCCTCCTTCCCAATGTTTCAAGGCTGGACCGCGGTCTGGGCAAAACAGACCCTGTGACGCTTTGTGTTCTGTCAGTTCTTTCCATCGCAGTTCACTCCTCGCGGGCCGCTCGGAGGCCACCCCACTTGCGCGGACTCCTCTTTCCTTGGTCGAGGCCGGCTCGTCGGTGTTTGAACCGACTATGTCCACCGGTATTTTGCTGCAGGCATATTTGGGGCATGCCTGCAGTGACGCAGATCGCTGGGGACCTGGTCCAAAAGCCTTCTGTCGAGGATGGGGCAGTGGCATTCCCTTCACAACGCCCTTGCTGCGCAGGCGCAGATCTTCTCTAGCGAGTTCAACTATTAGCCTGGAGCCAATGCTTGTACCTGCAAGCCCCGCCCCCTTACCTCGGCTGACCTGTCAGCCGTTTACCTGCAACTTCCGCAGCACCCACACGAGAAGAAGACAGAGAGAGTCGGGCCGCTGAGCCAGACACTACTACCGGGGGAGGGCCATACTGCCACCCTTCATACTGCACGCCTGCCAAACACTCGAAATCTTTTTCTGCATAGAGGCTCTGTTGCCTTTTCGTAAATGCTTGAATGAACCGGGGGATCCACTTGTATTCGTTTCCTTCTCGGTTCGCTGTTCACGGTGTTGCTTTAACAATAAATGGACCCGTGTGTACTTTGAGCTGCGCCCGTGGTACAGTACAGGATATAGATACAGGGGGAGACTCACACCTGTTGTTATGACCAGCTCGTAGCTAACGTCGTCCTGATCTCAGCTGTTGCTGTATGAAAAAGGTGTTTGCCTTCCAAGGTAGCTACAAACAGGATGCTTCTGTCGAGGAACTTGGGACTTGCCATAGAGGGCGCGGGGATGAGGCCGGGATGCACGTTAGTGTTCGGGGTCAAAAGGGGGATTTCTCGACAGTAGCACTCCACCGTTCAAACCGACCACGGACGGACGACATTCTTGACCCCAAAGCCTCATTCCACCAACGAGTTAGGGATGGGGGGGCCTTGGCCCGGGTCTGCGTGCAGGCCTGTCCCCAAGGAAGGAAGGAAGGAAGAGAGAAGCAAAGTCTGCAGTCAATCCAGTTCTCATGTTAAGTGCTTCTTTGCAGTTGGCTGGAGCCTTACTTAACTTGATGTAGTGATGCAGCAGAGTGTGAAAGGGGAATGCGGTCCTGTAGTTGTGAGGTCGTCTTTTCCAGAGTTGTGCCTTGTTTCAGACTGGGGATCGCGTTCCTGGCTGAATGTACAGCCGAGCCTTCAAGGGGGAAATACCCGTGAAGGAAAAAGACACCCGAGAACCACATTACAAAAACAATCTTTGTGGAAATAGCGTGACACTTAGTCACTCTCTCTACCAAATATCGTTTCGTCTCACAATGCAACAGCTGAAGAGTTTTCACAAAAGCTAGTCACGTGGACCGGATTGATTGGAAATCATCGCGGTGTCCGGGGATTCGGTGGATACCACCAAAGATAATTTATGCTCAAGGGTATTGAGAAAGTCCGACGCCAACTTTCAGCTCAGCGATGTCAACATGTTGCCTTTTTTTCCGCTTAGCCACAGATTTCAACACGTGAGGTTCAAATTTTTCGAGTATCGACAGTAAGTCGTCGGGCAGTGCTTTTACGCTAGCATGTCCATGCATATACCATTGCAAGTCTCACAACCATGTAGTGTTTCGTTTCACTGATGTTGCGAAGCCTCACGTTCACAGGGCGATGATGCGAGAATATCGTTGGGAGGAAATGAGCCTTGTGAGTCCAGATGAAAAATTGCCGGCCCGTTACTAATTCTGAACATAGAACTTCGCCCTACAACAGTCAGCCAAACATGAAGTTCTCACTTGGCAAAAACTTGCCGCAGGCGCGCGTTTCAAATTTCCAGAAGGATGGAAGCAGAGAAGGAAAGAAACAAGTAAGGAGGGAAGGGACCCCCCCGTAGCCCAGCGAAAGTATGGGAAAACAGCTTTCCCCAAGGCAAAGCCAAGGCAGTCTCAGTGTTGGTTCTAACATGGCCGTGTCGATTGAACCACGTTGGGCCAAGAAAATCTACCACAGGTGTTTTTGGAAGCAAACATGATTGAGTGCGCACATGAAGAAAAGAGATGTAAATCTTGTAGATGCAAGAGATTTACCCAGGAGTCGAAGTATGCGTGCGTTTGCCAAGGCGGGGCACCGGTGGAAATCTGGCTCTTGCTCGTGAATGTACATAGCTGTCATCAGCCGCGCTGGCTTGAGCCTGGTGAACCGCTGCAACAAGAGTCCCTCATCTGCGGAAAAGATATGTTTCTGCCCCGCTCGCTCACTTTCAATCACGGGGTCTTCATGGCTTTAAGACGTACATTCTAGATGCAGGTATGGGATGCAGACTCTGGCAACCTTGATTGCCGGTTGATGGGCCACATAGGGGTAGCGGGTAACTCAGGCATGCCCGCGGCGAGCTCGTGAATGCGTATTTGCATGTTGGAGATGTTTCTTGACGACAGCCCAAGGTGTCCAGTGTTGCAGTCTGCCCTACGAACTCTGAGTTGCTTGCCACCGGCGGTGAGGACTTCCATTTTCTCATTCCTCGTTGCGCTAGTGAGTGAATGTCAGCTTCGCTGACCAGCTGCGCAGGATCACACGGTGCGACTTTGGGATCTTCGAGATGCCTCATCCAGAGTTTTTCAGAACGGTTGGCTTCGCGTAGCGCACGAAGCATCCTACCACCAAGATCGAGCCTAGCTCGCAACTTGCTCGCATGAGCAGAGAAAAGGCCATTCCAGTGCCTTCTGGGAAGCTGACCCCTTGCATTTGTGGCTTGTTGCGGAGCATTGTGCAGGTGACTGGTGTCAACCTGGCGCATTTCACGCTGAAGGGGCACGAAGGCAGCAACCTCGGCACTGACAGATCTCAAGTTCAAGCGGTGTGGCGGTGCCGGGCAGTGCAGCCGCTCCAAGCTTGCAGCTGACCTGCCTTTCGCAGATTCAGAATTCTCAGAGAATCCATGCTGAAAAGTCAACATTGGGTCTTTGAAAGGGGTTAGGTATTCTGTGAGTTTATTGGCAGTTGCATTTCCTGTAAAGTGGAAGGCAGCAGGCAGTAGCGGACATTGGAAACACACTGAGTTCATTTCTGTTATTCTGTTGGGTGTGTTCTATGCTATCCTACATGTTCATACGTATGTCTCCACTCTATGGCTTTATGCTCGGTAAGTTCGCTCCGTCATTGTGCTTATGCTTTCTCCTGTCGTTCTGGCGTGACTTGTCGTATGCTGCAGGTTGCTGTTATGCAAACCTTCTGGTAAATGCTGTCCCAGACTCTTGCGGCCTATTCCTATTTAACCGGACCAGACTTTGTTCTTTTGATCCCGACCGACGTGGTTTTTGTGCTGCTCGCTTACTGCGAAGCGGGAGAGGGAGATCATAGATTTGATGGACGGTCAAGCAGCGGGAGATAAAACGGTCGTCTGCACCGAAATGCATCTTTACAGAGATTATGCTGGGTTGGGCCCGATTCCGGTCCACTGGCACGGGGCCTTTGTCGTTGCTGGGTTTGGGAGCGGGTGGTTCCGGTTCCGTCAAAACTACAGCAGTACACACGCCACAACAGTTCCTTCTGGTTTTTGTAGGGAGGCGGAAACCTGGTGCCTCTGGGCTGTAAGAGGACTAGGTCTGGTGAATGCTTCAACGCTTGCAGGCCGCCCCGTGGCGAAGGGGGGGGAAGGTCGAAGTGAAGTTGCCAGACTTGATCGGAAAGTACGCAGGGCACAAAACAGACGGTTTCGAAGGCAGTAGTATCGATAAAACGGATTCACAAGCAACTGGCTCGGCATGCCAATTTCCAGACTGTATGGCCCAAGTTCCGACACCTGCATCAACTCTCGAACATCCCACCTATAGCTTGATTGAGACCAGACAGCCGTTGAGTCAACTCACTCAAACTGCCAACAGAAGCTTAAATTGCAATTCGGATTATCAAAATGCCGTTCTACCAGGACGATATCCGGAAACTCTTCGTATTGCTTCTCTTGAGTGTCCTGGACTCGAGTTATACACTTAACTACCAACGCAACGTTGACGCACCTGTTTGGAAAAGTCAAAAATCAACAGCAACTCAAGAGAAGAACACGACGGATGTGTAATATATCGATTAAGCGGAGTGAAAGGTGAGTTCCGCAACTAGGAAACTAGTCAGTGCAAGGCAAATAGGATTTGGGTGACCGCTAGTCCGACACCCAAGTCGTTTGGAAGACTATTCCAAGAAACTTTTGGGTTATACAAACACCTAGTCATTAGGTTATGATTTTCACATGTTAGGTATCCGCCCTGAAGTAATAGACGATGATTCGCTTGTTTCGTAGCTACGGTTATCTCATGCGCGATGAAATAGACGATACACAACATCCCCAGAAATGGAAAAGACTTAGCTACGCGTATTACGTCTTCAAAGTTCCATATCTTGAGAGGCTGTTAACCTAACTCATACTGTTGAAATAGGTAGTTCTCACACATGTATCAATATCAATTGAGTTTGTACTAGGTTCAACGGGTGATAGTAGGTGCGGTCCTGCTTATGCTATGTCGGAACTGCCTGATTAGTCGCTGATCTAGTTTCGAATTATGTTGTACATACTGTGGTTCAACATGTACATCATGTAATGAAGTGTTGCTTCATGTTTGGTTGGTGTGAACATGGTGACACAGTTCCGAGCTTTTGCAAGTTGCTATATAACTACATTGTCGCATCAACTAACATTTCACCTGCGTGCTGACATCATACAGTATACGGAATACTTGTTGGTTGCGTAATCAAGTTGAATATATGCATGTATGTATGTATGTACGTATGTATGTATTTTTGTATTCATGTACGTAGAATGACTCTGATAAAACAAAGTACATAAATGCATCGACAATAACTTCGATCATCAGATATTAGCTAGCGAGACGTACTTGCACGAAAATTTGGCACTTCGCGATTTGTGTTGGAACCTTGCGCTGCGTTGGACTGGGGTGTGGGCACGTATCGGCAATAAAACCCAAAATAGTTTTACTTCGAACATCCCCACCCTACAGATAATGCATTTGGCGGCCACACCACCGACTGGCGTTACGGTCGTGTGGTCCCCGGCCACGTGACAAAGCACACCTGTTCGATTCAGGTCATTCGACGACCCATGCATGGGGTCACACCACTGACTGGCATTACAGACGTGGGGTCCGCGTACACGTCACGGTAGTCTCTGCGGTTGGGCACTCTAGGGAGTCTCACGGCAGTCTCTGAAATTGGGCACTCCGCGGAGTCTCACGGTAGTTTCTGGGGTTGGGCACTCCAGGGAGTCTCACAGTGGCAGTCTCACGGTAGTCTTTGGGGGTGCGCACTCCAGGCAGTCTCTGGAGGTAGTCTCAGCGGGCGGGGAGCGGACGGGGAGCAGGCGGGAGCAATAGCTGAAAAACCTAACGACCGCACACCGAGGGTGGGGAACAAAAAAACAACGCACACCCAAAATACAATTTTCCAGGAGACAAGTCTCCAGATGTTGATTTGATTTGCTTTTTGTCTGTTTTTGCGTTTAATAGCTGAATAGCTTCTCTCAGCCAACTAATTTGCCGCCACATGCTGTGAACAACACCTTGCTTTAAAAGCACACGCGTTCCTCGAACAAAGACTATGTTTCAAGACGCCAAATGCACTCGAACGACAACAGGAATCGTGCAAGCATCTGCAACATGTGAGAGGAACTTGAGAGCCGACCGGGTTTCCCTCTCTCTCTCTCTCTCTTGTTCTAAGACTGTCCCTCTCAGGTTTTATTTGCTAACGCTGACCTTCCGCCCTGGTTCCAAACACTGTAAATTGCAGCCTTTGCTGCTGTTCCAAGGCTCCACATGCTGCTAGTTACAGCACCTCTGGCTTTTCACAGGCTCGAACGGTTGTCGGTCGCTGCATTTTTGGCTATTCACAAGTTCCACATGCTGTCAATTACAGCATTTCTGCAAACTACCTGAACTGTTGTGAACTACCGCATGTCCGACTGTTCACAAGCCAAAGCATTTCCAGCTATGCGTATGGTTGAAACAAAATGCTGTAAACAACGCCATGTCACATGTTGACCAGCAAGCTCTACATGTCGCAAACTTCACTTGCACAAACACTTCTCTGGAAAGGATTCGTGCAGGAATGTACATTGATGGCACAACATTCACTGAAGCAAGTTTACACCGCTCTTGAGAAACCCGGGGGGTTGTTTGGAGAGGATTCACGAAAGAAATGTGGAGTTTGCCGACGACAAAGTCCTTATTGCCGGAACTCAACAGTAGATGCAGGACCTGTTGTTTAGCTCGTGCCTGTGCAAGGGTGCTAAAAGTGTTCATCTTCAGCTCACATATTGAAGCTTGACTGAAGAAGTTGAATGTGCGGCCTTTGGCACCTGGCCGGGGGATGCCGAGGAGGCAGTCTGCGGTCGCTGTGGGCCCGTCCGGCACAGACGCACAGCACATCAATGAATTAGGAGAAGTTAAGAATGTGCAGTTTTGTGGAGAGGAAAAATCGTAGAGCTTAACCTCCACGCCATCCACTACCACTCTGTGTCGCTGCGCAGCAGTCGAGGCGGAATCTCTCGGGTCAGATTCACCGGGTTCAGCCCTCAGCCAGTAACTTCCAGCTCAGCCGCTATCAGCCTCGGCAGACATGCGCGTTTAAAGAGCAAAGAGATGTCAGATGCAGTTGCAGTAAATCACTTCCAGAACGCAATGCCTCCGGTGCCCCTCTGGCCTGCAGGAGCACTGCGTTCTGTCATTGCGCAGAGGCTAGCACAGTTGCAAACCGTCTCAACATGTAAGGGACGGGCAGCTGCTGGCCAGCGTCTCCAAAGACTGCTCGGTGAGAATCTGGGTACCGTTGGCCTCCCAGCATTTGCGTGCTGTTTGCATGTGTCACTCCGCTGTCTTGTCGTGTCTGGCCCTGGACATCCACGCAGGCATTGGTGACTGTGATTGAAGCTGCAGCCTCCCTTCCCATGGCAATCCAAAGCACCCCTGAAACACAGCATGAGCAGCGAACATGCGTAGACTTCGTTGGCTGATCCTTTCTTCGAAGAGTCACCGTGCCGGCGCCGTCGTCTTGGCCACACGTGCCCAGTCTGCCGGCGTGGATGGGTTCAGGCGAAGGTCTCCCGGTGCCGTCTCGTCTGAAAACCGGTTGAACGGTTTTCAAGAAGGAGGATGTATGCCACTGCCACAGGCTGCTGAGCAACAGAAGGAAGTCTCGCGACAGGTCGCTATTTAACCCGTTGCTCCTCGCGAAGTTCACTGCACACGAGGTGCTCCAAAGTTGCACCAGAGAAGGTGCCTGCTGGGTGATAGTGATCAGGCTTGGATACGAGACGTCGCTTGGTCGCCTGACCAGCTCGAGCCTCGGCTGCTTTTTTGCGTCAGTGTGCAGTCGGAAATTGCCTCAGGAAGAGCCTCTTCACGGGTGCTGCTGACGGCATGGTCTTTGCCTGGGAGGCCACTTGTTGGACAGTCACCCATGGCAAAGGAATGTCTACTGATCCTGAACACGACAGCTTGTCGAACAGGTTCCTTCGAAGTGCCCCAGCTTTTGAAAAACTGACCCGACTCACGCACTTGTCGACAGGCCACATTGCATTTGTCCCAGGTACCATGCCCAGTTACAGAAGAGCCGGGGAAGCGGCGGCAAAAGGCACCTGTCGGTCTCACAACTGCGAGCTTTTGTCATGTGCCACTGTCCAGGTATAAAGCATAGTACCGCAGCCAAGATGAGATTGCGTGCATGTGGATTTTCGGCAATCCCTCCTTTAAGAGGAGTGACGACAAGTATGCGAGAGTCTCACGCAGAGTTTGGGATCTTGTGCTTGACCTTCAGC